CGTATTATCCTGGATAGAGCTGGAACCCATTTTTCTAAGTAAAATATCACAAGATTGGAAAAACAAGCACCACATGTACTCACCATGAAATTGGTATTAATTAATCAACACTTACATGCATACATAGTAGTAACATTCATTGGTGTTGGGCAGGTGGGAGTGGGGGGGAAGGGATGGGTATATTCACACCTAATGGGTACGGCGCTCACCATCTGGGGAATGGACATGCTTGAAGCTGTGCCTCAGGGTGGGGGGCAAGGGGCAAATGCAATATATGTAACCTAAAAATTTGTACCCCCACAATATTCTGAAATTTAAAAAAATGACTAATTGCTATGGTTTGAATATTTTTCCCTCCAAAATTTATGCAAAAATTTAATCCCCAATGTGGCAGTATTATGGCCATAACTTTAAGTCAATCAGTGAATTTAAGTGGGTCAAAGACACTTCAAGAAAATTAACTTAGTTTTACTTCAACCAAGTAAGTACCTTGTCTGTTGAACAGAAAACAAACATAGTTATAAACTATTTTGAGTAATCTGAATATAATTGTGCATATACTGAGGAACTAGACTTTTTCAAAGACCCTTCAAATATTTTCTTTAATTTAATCTGAAATGATGGAAATATTCTCAATATTAATGATTCTTTTCATATGAAAAATAATAGTAGTAAAATTGGATTCCCAAGGTTTACTTAAATCTGGCAATGATGTCACAAAGCTAGATTCTAAAACCATGGACAGTAATTCTTTCTGTTGTGAAGCCCTTTAAGAAGTGAAGCCTTTACAAGGTGATTTGTTCATGAGGGCTCTGCCTTCATTAATGGATTAATCCATTCATGGATAATAGATTAGTGGATTATCATGGGAGTGGGACTAGTGTCTTTATAAAAAGAAGAGAGACCTGAGCTAACACACTAAACCCTCTTGTCCCATGATGCCCTGGGCTGCCTCAGTACTCTGCAAAGTGTCATCAGTAGGAAGAAGGTCCTCACTAGATGTTTCTCCTTCATATTGGCTCCTTCTCAGCCTCCATAACTGCAAGAAATAAATTTTCTTTTCTTTCTATGTTGCCAATATTCAAGTATTCTATTATAAGGAACAGACAATGGACCAATACAGTAATCAAAAGGAAAATTGAAATCAAAACCACGATGAGATATCACCTCACCTGAATCAGAATGACTGACTATTACAAACATGTAAATAAATAAATAACAAATGCTGGCTCGGATGTAAAGAAATGGGAACTCTTATGCACTGTGGGTAGGAATGTGAATTAGTACGGCCATTATGGAAAACAGTATGGAAATTCTCAAAAAATTAAAAATAGAATTACCATATGATCCACCAATCCCATTACTGGGTATATATCCTAAGGAAATTAAATTAGTATGTGTCTGGAGATATTGGCTCTCCCATGCTTATTTCAATGCTATTCACAAATTCACAATAACCAAGGTATAGAATCAACCTAACTGCCAATTTACAAATAAATGAATAAATAAAATATGGAGTGTATGAGTACATATATGTGTGTGTTTGTTTGTGTGTGAAACAAATGAAATCTTGTCATTTGTACCAATGTTATGGACAAACCCAGACAATGATATAGTAAGTGAAATAAGTCAGATACAGAAAGGCAATTACTGCATGATCTCATTCATATGTGGAATCTACAAAAGTTGATTTCACAGAAGTATAGAATGTATAATAGAAAAGTAGTTACTTGAGCCTGAGGAGGGTCAATAGGGAGGAGCACCGGGAGAGGTTGGTCAGAACATACAAAGTTACAGTTAAATGAGGAGAATAAAATTTGGTCTTCTATTACACAGTAGAGTGACTAAAAATAACAGCGTAGTGTTTATTGCAAGATAGCTAGGCGTGTGATAGGAACTCACTGTAAAAACAATAAAGCCATGAGTAGGTAGGAAAAAAGAAAAAGATAGCTAGATGAGAAAATTTTGAATGTTATCACCAGGAAGAAATGATTTAAAGTAACTGATTTAAAGTAAATGATTTAAAGTATCACCAGGATTAAATGTTTAAAGTAATGGGTATGGTAATTGCCTTGATTTGATCATTATACAATGTGTGTATATATATATATATGCATGTTCATATGTATGATTATTATGTGTCAATTATAAATAAACATTAATTTTAAGGGATAAAAATGGATGGGTAGTGGTACCTTGTACAGTGCAGCGTCGGGAGTTACTGAATGTTCTATCGAGCCTTTGGTGGGTGAGGTATGTGGTGCGACGATTACTAAAAGATGCATTATGAACATTGGGAGGGGGGAGATGTAGGGGTTATAGTAGCGACGTATGAGTGTGAGCAGGAGCGTAGGTGAGGAAGTGAGGATCAGAACATTATAAAACATGAAATAGTGTGTGTGATTCGCTTTGGATTCATGTATATATTTATTGTTTTGGTAGTGTGTGGGCGGTAATTGGGTAATGATTAGAGGGACGTTTAGAGTTAATTAAGAGTGTTGAGAGTTGTGGAAGGAGGTAGTATGCGCAGTAAGAGAAGAGAGGGGAGGTATGAAGTTGTGAAGACATCAAAATAACAGTAAAAAAGCATTTTTCAATATGTATTGAGGTCAGTAGAGACAAAATCAAATTTTCCAAAGATATTGGTTAAACTGAATCTAATAATTTGGATTTAGTAGAACATTTCATTTCCTGAGAGTTTTCTCCATAGTATTTTATGTATATACATAGAGACACATATGTATTCACCAATAGTATCTATTCATTCATACAGCTATATTCCCTATATACCTACTTTTATATAAAATATAAAAATGCTGAATATATTATAGCTATCTATTTTCACTTCATAACATAGACACAAAGAAGGCATGCCTGTATAAGTTCACAGAACTAGGATTCTTATTCTACTTATTTTAGCAATTATATCCTTAATTATTTGATTCATCATATCATTTATCAGATCTGTGATGCATTATCCACATGTATAACACTGTATATAATCTCAAATGCCATTTCCATCCTTAAAATTACATATTTCTAAATTGGAGGTAAAAATAGATCAAAATATGTGCCTAACAACTTTGTGTCAGTTGTACAATGGATCACACAGCTTGTGTCATGTGACATGTTTTTTTTAGCTTCAATTTAATTGATTTTGTTTGAAAATGTGAATTCCTAAGTTCCTTCTTATAGTAACTATGTTCCCAAAATCTTACACAAAGAAACAATAAAACAAATATTCTCACATATGCCAACAAAAAAGTCAAAATAGTATATATAATATCTCATTAGCCATTTATAAATAATCAAACAATAGCACAACCATAGCAAACTTGGGGAAAGTGAATGCAGTATAGATTTAAATCATACATATCTATAAAGGACTTTAAGGGCTTAAGTTATAATCTTTCATCCTCATCTACAGTGTATTCAGCCACACAATTCAATAATGTTGACAAAAATAATTTTCTAAAAGGCCTGAGGTTGTTTTTGATGAAACAATGATAAAAACAATTTGCTGGTGGGTCTCTGAGTCCAGTGAGTCTTGTATTACAGCAGTAGATATAACGAAAGATGTTTTAGCCAAACGATTCTCTTTTATATCCTTAATAGTGTTTTTAGCCAGGATAAATATTATTCCAGATCTTTTATTGATTTTCCAGCCCATATATTAAAATGTAGACTTCAATCTCAGTCAAGCTTTGAAATAATTGGAGATAAGCAGAATTGCATAAGGTAGGTGATTGAATAATGGCATTAAGAAAATGTTAGTTTTAAAAGTTATAATGAATATCATGATGTAGAAATTTCATTTTAAATCTGAAATCATTAAAAGGTTGCCTAAGGCCATATGTCTAGTTTCACAGTTTGAAAGAAAGGCTGGCACTAAATTCTCTATAAAAACCTATAAAAATAACTCTTCAAAATATAATAGTGTTAGAAAAGTTAATGTAGGAACCTAGAATGTCCAAAGTTTATTATAGGATCAGCTGTCCCCTCAAGATTTTATAAGCATAATAGGGGCTTCATTTTTGTTATACCATGAATTAATATACTATTGAACATTATTCTAATCATATCAACATCTCAGAAGTATTTATATATTATATAAGCTAGTTAGTCGAATAGCAAGCGTATCCATTCAAAATACAATTTTGGTCTTCATGGATTTGAAAATTAACATTCAAAAAAGACTTCATTTATCTTCACCATAATTTATGTTCAAGATTAAATTTTAAAAGCTAAAATAGTTTGTAATTTAAGAAAAGAGATATTATAGATTTTAAAAGTTTTAATGAAAATTTTTATTAATTTTTTAAAAATACAGTGTCTGCAAAAAAGTGTTTTACTTTTATACTCATCAAAATGGGAAAATATAGCAATATTTTTAAAAACAAGTGAAAAAGATGTTCCTAAGAATATTATAGTAGGAAAATCACAGTTAAAGAGAAGGAACATGGCTTGGTCTACACAGACAAAGCATAATAACTCAATAAAGATTTGTCAAGTGTATACTACACCTATCCCAGTTGAAAGGGATGCAGCAGTAAGCAAAATTAAGAATTATATAGGAAAAAAATTGAATAAATATGAAGTATTTCAGAAGGTGGTAAAGATTATGAACAAAAATAGAACACATAAGAGAAATGGCACTTTTCAAAAAGGTGATCAGAAAATACCTCTCAGATGGTGGTGAAGCAATATGAAGGAGATAGAGATCTAGGAAAAGAATATTCTAAACAGAGGGTGCAGCTACTGTAAAGGTTCTTACCTTTTCCTTTTAGTTATTGCCATCCGACTTATAAAATTAATAAAGGACCACAATGTAGGGGAAATGTATATATAACTAGCCATGTTCCCTACCTTGCTTTCCTATAATTGCTTACTACTTAGGAGTCATATACGGATGCTCATAAAGATTCTTAGCTTTCTTCATTGCTCCCATAGATAACATCAGCCTTGTGAAACCTAAGGCTAGTGTTTGACATATCTTCCAGACTCTGCATTGTGGTGGAATGGCTGAGCCAACTACAGCAATGGTCCATACCAAGGAAGTGACTCAACTGGTCTTCCAACTCCAACCCAGGAACTTACCCAGCAAAGAAGACAACTTCTACATCACTATGGTTCCACCCTAAACCCAGCCAACTAGTAGACTCAATTGCCTAGCACTTTGTCTGCTAAACTATCTTTAAAAACCCTTTCTCCAAAATTCTCAGGGAGACAAATTTAAGAACTTCCTCTGGTCTCCTTGCATGGCACCTGCAATATTAAACTCTTTCTGTAACCCCTGATATCTCAATATATTGGCTTCCTCTTGATCAGTGGGCAATGAACCTGTTAAAGCCGTTACATTATTCAGCAGTATCTAGTATTAAAAACTCAAAAAGGGCACTGACTGTTCCTAAATTAAGAGGCTATAACCTAATTATGAGTCATATATAAATATCTTAACATGACCTTTATTAATCCATTGTACAAATTATAGTTAATAATTATGCTATATTATTAAAGATGATGTTTCAAGTACCATGAAAACAATATATATTCTATACTTCCCTCCATAATAGCATATGTAAAGGAAAAATAAAAATCTCAGGATCCCCCAAAACATTATGCCAGAAGTAAGAAATGAGCCTGAGAACTGAGTCACACAAGCACTGCCAAACTCTCCCCAGTTGGTTACAGGGCCCTCTTTAAGGAATTGAAGTTAGAAATATAAAGGATTCTTTCTTTTCCTTTCTTCTCCTTCTCTTCTTCTCCTCTCCTTCTCCCTTTTCTCCTTCTCCTTCTCCTTCTCCTTTCCTCTCCTTCTCCTTCTCCTTCTCCTTCTCCTTCTCCTTCCTTTCCTTCTTTTCCTTTCCTTCTTTCCTTCTTTCCTCTTCTTTCCTTTCTTCCTTTCCTTTCCCTTCCTTCCTCTCTTTCTTTTCCTTTCCTTTCCTTTCCTTTCCTCTCCTTTCCTCTCTTCTCTCTTCCTCTCTTTCCCTCTTTCTTTCTCTTTCCTTTTCCTTTCCTTCTTCTCTCTCTCTCTTCTCTCCTCTCCTTTCCTTTCCTTCTCCTTTTCTTCTTTTCCTTTTTTATGGATAGGGTATGGGAGGGAGAAAGGAAACCTGACTGGCAAGGTGGTCTTGTCATGCAGATAAGCTTCACAATAAAAAACCCTCAGGAAAATGATTTTATCCTGAATTGGATTTTATCAAAAAGTCCCAAAATAACAGATGCTGGCATGATGCAGAGGAAAAGGACAACTTATCCTTTGGTAGAATGCAAACTATTGCAACCTCTCTGGAAAGTATTGGGAATATGGTTGAAGGAAGAAAAGTACCTACACTTGATCCAAACAACCACTACTAGGTATTACCAAAGGAAATAAAGACATTCTATAAAAAAGACAACTGCACTAGAATGTTTATAGCAGCACGATTCACAATTGAAAAAATGTGGAAACAACCCAAGTGCCCATCAATATGTGAGTGATTAAATAATGTGGTGTATATATACCATGGAGCTCTACTCAGCCACAAAAAACAATGGTGATCTAGCAACTCTTGTATCATCCTGGATAGAGCTGGAGCCCATTCTACTAAGTGCAATATCACAAGAAAGGAAAACAAGTACCACATGTACTCACCATCAAATTGATATTAACTGACCAACACTTAAGTACACATATAGTAATAACATTCATCGGATGTTGGGAGGAAGGGATGGATATATGCACACCTAAGTGGTGCAGTGATCACCGCTTGGGGGATGGACACGCTTGAAGCTCTGACTCGGGTGGGGCAAAGGCAATATATGTAACCTAAACATTTGTGCCCCCATAATATACTGAATAAAAAAATTAAAAATAAAAAAAAAAAAAAATTTTAAAAAAAAAAAAAGGAAAAAAAGAAAATGTGGTAGACACATATGACAGAAGATTATTCAGCCTTAAGAAAAAGGAAATTCTGCAACATGCAACAACATGGATGAACCTTGAAGACATCATGCTACGTGAAATAAGCCAGTTACAGAAGGACAAATACTGCATGGTTCTATTTATAGGAGGTATCTCAAATACTTAAATTCATAGAATCAAAGAGTGGAATGGAGGTTGCCAGGAGCTAAGGGGAGGAGCAAATAAAGAGTTACTAACCAATGGGCATAAAGTTTCAGTTAAGCAAGATGTGTCAGCTCACACAATCTGCTGTACAATATTGTACCGATAGGCAACAATATTGTACCTAAAAATTTGCTAAGAGAGTAAATCTCATGTTAAGTGTTCTTACCACATAAAAACAAATTTCTTAAAGAAGAAAAAAAGAAAATAAGTTCATTTACCATAGCATCAAAAATAATAGAATACTCAGGAATAAATTAAACAAAACAAGTAACTATTTGTATAATTAACACTAAAAACTATTATTGACATAAATTGAAGAACACCTAAATAAATGAAAGACATATCATGTTCATGACTGAAAAACATATTGTTAAGGTGGCAATACTCCAAAAATGGATCTACAGATCTAACACAGTGTAGTGCTGGAAGGAGGACAGACAGATAGGTTAATAAAATAGAATCGAGAGTTCAGAAACCAACCCTTACATTTAGGGTTAGCAGATTTTCAATAATGGTGAAAGAATGTTTTTAACAAGTGATGTTAGTAAAATGAGCTATTCACAAGTGCAATGATTAATTTAGACCCCTATCTCAAATCATGTACAAAAATTAACTAAAAATGAACTATATTCCTAAATGTAATAGCTAAAACAAAAACAATTAAAAGAAAATAGAGTAATACATATTTGTAACCTTAGATTAGGCAATAGGTTTTTTGTTTTTTGATATGACACCTAAAGCACAATCCACCCCCAAAAATAGATAAATTGAAATTCTTCAAAATTGAAAGATTTTTTGCTACAAAGGACACACTCAAGAAAGGAAAAAAAACTCACAGAATGGGAAAAAGTATCAAATCATATTCTTAAAAGGGTATAGTATCCAAGATATATAGATAATATTTACAACTCTATAATAAAAAGACAAATGACCCAACTAAAATGGGCAAAATATTTGAATAGGCAATTTTCCCAGGAAAATACACAAATGTCCAAGTAACACACAAAAAGATGTTCAGCATTATTCATTAGAGAAATGCATATCAAAACCACAGCATACCACTTCATGCACCCTAGCATGACTATAAACACAAAGATGGACAATTAGAAAATGTTAATGAGGATGTGAAGAAATTGGAACCCTCATCCATTGCTGATAGGAATGTAAAAACATTCAATCACTTTGGAAAGCAGTTTGGCAGTAGCTCAAAATATTAAACATAGAGTTTACCATATGTCCCAGAAATTCCAAACATAGGTTTATACCCAAGAGAAATGAAAACATGTGTTCACACAAAAGCTTGTTATGAATGTTTATAGCAGCATTATTTATAATAACCCAAAATTTGAAATACCCAAATGTTTATTAACAGATTAATGAATAAAATATGGTTTATCTACATAGGGGACTATTATTCAACCATAAAAAAGAATGAAGTGCTGACATTCTGCATCATAGATGAAACTTAGAACATTATGCATAGTACAGTAACCCACCACATATGTATAATTCCATTTATATGAATTGTTCACAATAGACAAATTTATATAAACATAAAATATATTAATGGTTGCCAATGTCTGTGGTAAAGGAGGATGAGGAGTGACTAATACAGGGTACAGAATTTCTTTTGGGGTGATGAAAATATTCTCATGGTTGTGATGATTGTACACCTTGTAAATATACTAAAACCCACAGAATTGTACTCTTTAAAAGGATGAATTTTATCATATGGCAATACAAAGAATCAATTCATTCTCTGATGAATATTTTCCTCTTCTGTATACCATCACTTTTAAAGTGTACTCACCTTCATTTTTATATCACTTTATAATCATAATGTAGTTCTCCTAATTGCAAAGATACTTGGATGCTCTTAGTTCCATGTGTTAGTGGTGGTTCAGTATCTATTTAAACACTCATATTTAAAGTATGAGAAAGTTATGTCAACTGATAATGTGTAATAATATCGAATGTCCACATAATCTTCCATTTGACTCTGCTTTAGTTGAGAGTGGAGGGAACATTATAATATTTTTCATTCATGTAATTTAATAAAAACAAAATACATCAGGAAACATGAGATCACAATAATTCACAACCAGAAACTTTAAAACTACATCAAACATTCTAAATATTTTATGCTCACCAAATCAAACTTGAGGACAATCCATATCATTCAGGTCAATCTGCTCGAGAGACAAAAATACATATCAGCTCTTACATTGGCACTTTTTTATGAATAGATATATTTATTTTGTCTCAATAGTTTCTGCTTTAATCATTTAAATATTTTTTCTTAGGTTAATCCCTTCGTCATTCTGTCATGTCATTCATATGAAAGGAACCTTTTAGGGTGAAATTTCTAGGAACCAGTGATATACCACATAAGCTTTAAAAAACATCTTGAGAAAGAAAAAAGAATTGACTTGTGAAAGTGAATGGCTGACTGTATATTTTTAGTATAATAACCCATATGATATGATGGCATATATGCTATCCTCATGCCATTATATTATGTTTTACTAATTTATCTTCTTTTCATTAATTATAGATACTTGGAGGATGGTACTGTGTCATTTAAGTAATTGCCTTCCTAACACTCAACATGAATAGAAACTTGGTAAATATTCATATTTTTTATGAACAAAGGTAGTAATTCAATCAGAAAGAAATTTGGTATGCTAATTTATTCTCAAACATATATCTGTTTAATATATTATTAAAGACAGTTTATAAGGGGTAACCCATGTGCTCCAATAGAGTGGAAGGTGCTAAAGATAAATGATTAGAAAGGTCACTGGTTCAACTCTGAAGTGTTAATCACTTACATAAACATGAAAAAAATAGAACTACTTTATTGTCGTTGTAATAATTATGAAACCTACATTCCAAAATCTTAATTCATTAACTCTAAGTTTAAAAGAATAAATTAATACTAGGACAAATTATTGCACAGGGAGGTTGGTGAAATTGTTTTTAAGTCAAGCGCTTTTGCCCAGCTAGCGTTTATTAAAGGTCTCTTTTTCACCTAAGATCATTTCATAGTGCTTTGCAATTTTCAGTTGTCACTGCATGCATTTTCAACCTAGTTGAAAAGGTAACTAACAGAAATAACTTTGCTCTGCAGAAGAAAGCAACTACTGACATTCCAACAACAATCACTGGTTTCACCACAAAAGTAAATAAATTTTCATGTTCTGAGTCCATTGTATAATTCTGGGTAGCTCTGAGAGAGAAATAATGCTATTAAAAAAAAAGTTGAGTACATCTTAAAAATGCCCCCTTTTGAAGTATCATCTATTTTCTAATTTTTTTTAACTGAAATAAAACTAGTTTTTAGAGATTTTGGTATCTCACATGTGTAGATACTGATATTTCATGTTCCGGAAGCATTACTACATCTACCTTGAAGGCTACGAAAGAGAGTAAAATAAGATGCTGAAATAAGATATGCTTAAATTTAACAGACAATTTTCCCCTGGACCTGCTAATACCCTTTCAAGTGTGGGCAATGATTGTACAACGTTAGACAAACATTTAC